ATATATATATTTATATTTATATATATATATTTATATATATATATCCACTTGTGTGTGGCATATGAAAATAACTCCAACCGGTATTTATATGTTGTTGTTGCCATCGTCGTCTATTTAGATGTTGAACGCACCTGAAATTGCTCCTCCTGCAGCTCTGCTCACAATAATAACTTCACCTAGTGAAAGTATCACAATTATTGTACCTTTAGATGAAAATATTGAAACACCATCAACGAAACGATTTCGTCAAATGCGACCACTTAAATTGTCTAATCATCGACATCACCGTCAACATAATCGCAATCATCGCTATAAAATTTCAAAAAATAATTACATCTACTCTCTCTATGAACATGATGGATGTCCCTCTGTTTCTGTCAAGTGAATTGTCACTAAAAGCATTTATAGTATAGATAAATATCTCCAAATACAATTTCACCTTATCTACGTATCTCTTCTAAGTCTCAGTCGTCTCCTCCAAAATATTTCAGTATCAAAGACCCAATACTATAAATTTTATTCGCATTCAATCGATTCACTAACAACTCTTAATCAGTCGATCAAAATTAATCACACATTTCATCAATCAATTCCAACTCAAAATTTCGTCGGCAACACAACCTTAAAATGTTGTTTTTTGAACTTTCCGATTACATTCACCACAATTAATGCATCGAGCAACTTTTTCTTACTGTACTAGCATTAATTATTATTAACGCGTTCAGCATTCATCTCTCTATGCATCACTTCTTGTTTCACAATCAGTAGAACCATTTAAATGCCCAACGCTTTTTTAACCTTATGCAAGTGCCATTTTTTCGTTGGGTTTTTGGATCAACAGGAAAGGCCGAAGGCATGTTTTGAACCCCGTGGCCACATTGAACCATATCCAAATAATTGCGAAATGTGAAATGTTCTAGTATCAAAAATTCTTGTTTGTTAAACTTACTCACTGAAATGGCAACCATAAAATGCAATTTCACGATGGAGGAAAAGAAACAACATTTAGAGGAGGAGGCGGAATGAAATTTCGATTCGTGTGAATGAATGGTTAATAAGGATTACTTGCAACACACAGCTGCACTTATTACATAAATCCATTTCAACAATTATCGCCGTTCAGTATTCTATATAATAGCAAATAATAACATACACATGGCAAAAAATATAGTGAATAATATGCATACACATCATATCGCAAAGTAAAATTGAACTGAACTGAAATAAGCATTCATAAACGCATATTATCTGTATAACATAATCTCAGTTCAATAGATTTACCTACATCTTATTTAAGATCAAAATTTTTCGAATAAGTGATCATTTCGATTGATTTGCATCGTTTGCAGATGAGCTACATACAAGGAAGGGTCATAAAGTTACTTTGGTCTTCCGAGATGAGTTGTCCAATAGTTTATCCTCAACTGAGGCCAGTACGTCGTTAATTTCTAGTTGAGGATAGGTGACCTGCTAAGGCAGGGTAGATTGACTATCCCCTTCTGAGCGGCTGAACGATCCTGATCCCACTCCCCAGGCATACTATTTAATCCAGGGGAGTTCACTTTATTATCTGGACTCCTTCTCATCAATTTCCATTCATAACGCATCAAAAACGTGGATTTATTAGCGAATTGGACAGTGGAGTATTCAATCACACAAAAGCTACCAACTGGTACCAAATTTGCAAGATTTCTAAAACCGAGCCAAAATTCTGAAAAGTCAATTTTTTCGATTATTTACAAAGACATCAGAAAGCTTCTGTCTCTGTTCGTGCCGTATGATCTGTTTTTGATCTATTGCAAAGCATCAGCAATTTGGCGTCGAAAGCATCATCAAGCTGAGAGAATCAATACATTCACTGTGAGCTGTTGCATTCAAACCTTTAGACGCAGACATGTTCTCATGCTTTCAGATGAATTATTTTGAATAGATTCAGTGCACTGTTGGTGCAAGATTTTTAAAAATCTCGCTTTCGAGATAATGAAACATGTTCATCAAATGGCTAGAGCTTATTTGATCGAGGAAAATAATAATATTTAGCAAAAATGATATCTGTGTTAAGAAGTCATCGAATTGATAAGAATGCATGCATCAAAGTTTGAAGATGTTACTTATGTGATAAAAGGCACATCAAGAAATCAATTGGAAATGTTAATGAGTGTAATATATTTCGATAGAGCACCAAAGTATCGCAATGAAATGTGAGCCTATCGTCGACGATGAACTTAACTTATCTGTAATGCATAGATATTGCTTCATTAACCGGAGCCAATTCTCTTCTATTCATTTTGAATTTTATACAATAATTATCACCCAGGAGATAAATGCTTCAAGAATTTCAGAAGAGTTAATTTGCCTTCTATCAGAAAGAAATTATTTGTCCGAAACTTCAGCATTTACACGAATTTTCTCGAAGCAATTTGTTTGTTAGAACTTCTTCACCAAATAATTTATAATGACAAGGAAAATGCATGCATGTGGGTTAGTGAATCTGAGCAAGTCTTATAATCAACGATGCAGTTTCTGACGTTGATCACGAATCTGTTCTCAGCATTCGCTAAACACCTTCCTGGAGCATGTAATTGGTCCTGGAATGATTTCGAAGTAAAATTCTGGCACTGATCACAGCGCGTTGCCAATAGTACTGTACGTGGGTTCCTTAGCGTAATCAGTGATGCGTCTTAGTCGAAGTTGATGAGATGATAATAGTTCGAGTTGTGCTCATGTGCATGACTCTTTTCTTGCACTAGAACACATCATGTGGCATATTTGAAATGATCAAAACAATTCTTTGATGATTGCTTTGCAGTGTTTATTCCTTTCCGATACATACTCAAGTGATATTAACTCCCAGACAAGAAACAAACTTATGCTTTCATTCAGTATCACATCACCGAAGCGAATTCGGCTGCAATCTGCGTGAACGCGTTCAATCAGCTTAATTGAAACATTAACAAATATTTCCATATTCGTTAAGTTGATGTCGAGTAATGTTGAATTATTAACTGTATAATAATGAAAAGAGCATATAGTCGAAATATTATGCTAATGTGAACATTTTGAATTAAAGACAAATCGTCAGCATTAAGTCACGCAACATTCACTGACTGTCTCCCTTGAGCAATCATATCAGCGATCAACACCAATAATATTGGCGATCAATTGTGGCTTTAGTACGTTTTTATTTCATCCATCTTCGTCTCTTTATCTCAATCCATCCTCCCTTTGAGTTCAACTGCTTTATTCTTGTGCTGCCATGTCTATTATTCTCATTTCTACCTTTCATTTCATTAATGATAAAAATCGTTCTTCTTATCAATACACTCATCACCATACACAACAACTAGTGTTCTCCGTCTGTATTCATGTCTTTGTTTATCCTCACTTAATGAATTCGTCTTCTTTTATCAACCCACTCATTTTACTACCTTGTTGCAATATCTTTTCATCTATTCATCCACTCAGCCAGCCAACCATCCATCTTTCAGGTAATCAGCATCATCCATAGGCGTGGCGCGACATGATATTATAAAAGTCACCTCTAATAGAAACATCTGACGCTAAGGTTTGACTGTTTCTGGCATTCGAATAGGATCAAATCCAATCAACTCGGTGGGCTTGCCTCGAGATTCATTTAAGTCAAAGTTGCTTGATCTAACGTCATCAACTTTAAGCTGGATAGTCTGCAATTCTTAGTTCAATTTGCTCTTGTGAATGAGCATTTGAAAAAGGATATGCTAGTAAGGAATGTTCTGTTTGTTCTAAATAAAATCAAATGATTGTGATGGTATTCTGTGAATTGTTCGTTTGTTGACAAACGTGATCATATTGTAAAATGATGAACAAATGCGTATAAGATGTTAGCAATATTTTAGGTGTATTGGGTACTACTATCGAGTGTGCGTTAGTTGGTTTATTTTATACAACAACAGCAATACTTGTGATAACATTTTATCAATGATAATCACTACCAAACATTTCATTTCAACAACAACATTCATTGTTTTAATTATAATCAACAATTTAGCAGTCCAAATCAACGCATTTCCATTTTCCTCATCTGCTGATGATCAAGCAGCATCAGAAGCTCTTGCTTTGGGTAATATTCGCATTAACAACAGTTATAATGACCGTGGTGATATGATATCGGGTGATCAAATGACGACTAACAATCTCGGAAGGGATAATGTCGAAGAGGCGCAGGCGCTCTCAAAACGCTTAGGTACTAGTGGTGGCTATTTGAATCCAACGGCTACTGAACTGTTGACTGCTGAATCCAGTCTCGACGCTGCAAGCAACTGTCCACTTCTCGCAATCGTACCACCACAGCAAGTCCTTCTGGCTAAACAGCTGTGCGATCTAACGGTAATGCTCATCATTATGAATGCGTCATTCTTGCCAACGTTTATCTTTATCTAGTTTCGAACAGTTCTTTCGGTAGCTATTTCTCCATTAGCAATCTACTGGCATTGGTATTTGTTGAACTGTATAATTTGATAACGAGTAGGATGATCGAATAGAATTGAATTTGATCGAACGAACCAACATGCGATTTTAATCTTACTTTTAGCAATTCCTCAACATTTTTCATTTTTCAGGATTCGATTGTTGCCCTGGAAAAAGTAGTTGATGAACTGATCAATCGCAACGGTGACTAATTGTCTCTTGAATGCCGCTGCTGCTGTTTTTTTTGCTATTACTGCTGCTCGCCTATTGATCATCAAATTTTTTCGTGCTTGTAGTTGGTGAATAATGCCTAGTGCGTAAGATGTAGCTAATTTTCTACGGTCAATCTCCATTACTTGATCGATAGTGAATCGCGTGAAAAAAAGGATGGTAAAATGCTAGTAAGATTGAACTGGAAGTTAAATTCTGACATTTTCTCTGATAATACTGATAATAAGAATAGTAGAAATATTAGGAATAATAAAATAACAACAATAATAACGACACGAATGGTGAAAGTAATCATTATTATTATTATTACTTACTATAATTGATATTATCATTATAATGAGAAGCACATGAGGAGTCGGTATTGTTATATTAGGTTTGCAAATTTCGACCTAATAGATGCTCATCAATAATTGAATTGAGCACAACCTAGCAACAATTAATTATAAACGAGAGCAATATGCCATGCTGTTAAACAACGATCATTGCTCATGGCAGTCGATCTCTATGTCGTAATAATTTCATCAACGATAACACCGAACATGCAATACCAGTATGTGGAGCAGTTGCAATAATATAAACATCTTATAATCCGATCCTTGAATGAGCCTAAAGCCTCTTCGATTCATAAACGAAATGCGAAGACCTTGAGAAGCATCCCAAGGCCTGTTATAGCGGAAAAACAGCATTCTCAAATGCATATACAGGAAACACTCCCTCCTCTCCGCCTGTTCCTTCCTTTTTCTAAACTGATTGATTAACGGAACTCCGGAAAAAGCTTGAATACAGATCGGAGATTGCCATTTAGGAAGAAGAGGGGTAGGTTGTATGAATACAATGTTTTCTTATTTGAAGAAGTAAGATTGTTGGGGAGAATTGCGCGGAAAGAGCAGAACAAAGTTGGCGACGGCAACGAGCAGATACCACGACAAAGTGCGGTTGAAAAACGGAAAAATGAGTTCATTCGATTTGGAAAACGGAAAAATGAGTTCATTCGATTTGGAAAACGTAAAAATGAATTTATCAGGTGAGAGCTATGTTCAAGCGATGTATATTTCATCAGCGATTATTCCCATAAAAGAAATTTGTTCTGCTTAAGTTTCTTGCATCAAATATCTTTCATCATCCGGAAGTTATGATGGGAAATTCCATGCCAAAAAGTTTCAGCAATTGCTCAGTCGATATTTCGGAGAAACTCTGAGCATTTATTGATTTTCGATAGATATCGGGTAATTTTTGAAGAGAGCTGAGGATTTTTTTGAGAGAACTTAGAAACTTTTTACTTTGAGGAAATTTGAGCATTTTTACAGGTTTGGGAAACGGAAGAACGAATTTATTCGTTTCGGGAAACGCAAAAATGAATTTATTCGGTTTGTCACAGATTGATATTGCATTTTATTATTAGTTTGCGTGAACGTCTATCCTGTGATATTTATGAAAGTATCATTTTAGGTTTGGTAGATCGAACGTTGATGACAAATCGATAAGAACTTTGGGTAAATTTGTTATATTCCATCAAAATCCTTTTCTCCTATCTGTGCATTTTAATGTGGAATCATTTTAATTTTTATTGACATATTTACAGAGTTACTTATTCATACACACGCTTGCCTTATCTGTATTTGTTTTCGTAATCGCACATTGTTTATAAACGGATGCGAGATATACACATTTAGGTAGCACGTAAAAAGACTATCGCTATGAGCGATTAATACTTTATGACCATTTCAAACTGACAACTTGGTGACGTTGAAATTTAAATTTCATAAAACGCATCGCACTTGATTAGTAAATTTATTAGGAAGTCCGTTAGATATTATGTGACACACGGGATTCGGGAAATTCAAATGAATGAGTGTTGTTTTAGCAAATAGATAAACATATTTATGAATATATGATATTTATATGCATACAGCTACTTATA